GGTCATTTATCATGCAAGGCCTAGATAGACTTGACATAACAGTCAAGTGTAGGGCATGTATGCCTGCGTAGATGGCCACGTCGACACTGGTGGCGTATATATTGGCATTTTTCTTAACTATTCCTTTAATTGTTGGCTGGTCCAGAGCGAAGAATAAACAATTCCATGTAGTCTGCCTATGGCAACAGCTTCCCTTTAGAGGCGGCCAACTTACTTCACATCTTGTAGAGAGTAATATGAAAGTAGATTTTTTTACGCGCAACCACAAAGGCTATTTACATAAGGTGCTGCCCAGCATAATAGTATATATATATATATATATATATATATATTAGTGCATAAGCATTTTAATTGCAAATATGAACGGAATTGCCAGAGATACCAGAGGAAAGATACTATGATGGCACAAGGTTAGAACAGAAGGCAACAAGGTTTAGTGATTGGCAAACAAGGTTAGGTGATGACAACAAGGTTAGCGCGACGCTAACAAGGTTAGCGCCTGATGACAACAAGGTTTGGCTGATGGCGCAATCAAGGTTAGGGTTGATGCAACAAGCTTAGCGTTGATGGCCCAAGAAGGGTCGGCTGATGCAAGAAGGGTTTGTTGATGGCAAGGATGACAATAAGGTTATCGGTTGATGACAACAAGGTTAGGCTGATGTCAACAATGTTAGGTTGATGTCAACAATGTTAGGCTGATGGCAAAAAAGGTTAGGCGGATGGCAACAAGGTTAGGCTGATGTCAACAATGTTAGGCTGATGGTTTGGTAACGTGAACCCCACGTTGAAATGTTCTGGAATTAGACGGACTCGTGTAGTAAGTCCGCCAGGAGGACAGATGGAATTTACTTAGCATTTCCTCACAACTCTCATTCACACACGGCCTTCCTCGTGTGTATCTCTTCATAATCTTAAATTATCATATCTATATTACGAAAAGCACGTGCACAACTATATTTAATATATTTAATAATCTTTGCTAAATTATATATATACACCATAATATATTCTACGTACATTCCATGCACACATGCTATCTCACGTTCCCCTCATGCATCTGCTAATAACACCTAGAGTTCATGAGGTGGTTATTACTAACACGTGTTTCCATACTTGGCAGCTATACGAGCGTGTGTGTGCGTGCGTGCACGTGCACCCCGTGCATGACAGCTTTAATTGTGCGTACAGGTGGCACTGCGTGCGCATTACGATCCTTCCCCTCGCTTCGCCTTGATTCGATGCATGATGGTATAACATTAGTTGTGTTTTTGATTTGTCGGTGAAGGGTTGGTAATATGTTAATGATGTGACTGAGATGAGTAGCTAGTCTAGCGGTGCTGGTATTGTACTGTTGTCTGTATTACTGCAGATGTTGTAGTGAAGAGCAATGAATAGATTGTCGTACATCTAGTTTGACTGATGATGATGATGATGATGATGACGACGACGACGACGATGGTGACGATGAGGATGATGATGACGGTGATGATGATCATGACCATTACGATGATGGTGATGAGACTGATGATGATCATGGCCATTACCATGATGATGATGATGATAATGATGGTGATGATGGTGACGATGGTTATTATTAAGATAATTACAAGGAGACGTGTAATCTGAGGTTTTGATATTAAGCAGCCATGCGGGTTAACTTTTTGACATCCATTCTACGGTATATCTACAAACTCGAGTGTTTTTCGAGAGAGTTTCGCCATTTGTTTCGTGTATGACATTGTTCAACAGTAGCCTGTAACTTATAAGTAGACGGATGTGTTGTTTACCATGTTTACTCTTACATAATCCCCGGTAAGCTTCAGCCTATTGCTCACGTAACTATTCATAACAGTGTGATTCTATGATGAATCGTATATGAATCTATTATATATTGATTATTATTTTGCGTATATTATTGGACGTGTAACTGATATTTTTTGCCATCTGTAATGCTTCTATTCCTGTGTGGGAGTACGTAGTCATCAGGCGATATAAACACAAGGTTTTGGCTTCACGCCAACGTTGATTAGATGGTTTGGTTTGGTGTATGTTATAAAATTTAAGTAGTTCACAGATTTTGCCACTCGCGGGGCAGCAGCTGTGGGTATCTAGCATTAGTATACACGCGACAGCAGCTTTCACGTAAGCATCCGGGCACCCGTGTCTCGTACATCCGGGTACGTACGTTGTGTCTGAAATATTTCACTTCTTTCAACTCACAGCAAGCATCGATCAGGGTGGACGCATGCGCAGTGGCGATGAGTTCAGGACAGGGGGCCAGTCTTAAGTGCTGCGGTGTTCTTATGTAGCAATCAGATATGTAGCGGTTGTCGTTAGGGTGTAGTAGGTATTAAAGAGCGTGACCGTGTAAGCATGACATGTAGGGTTAGAATAACCTGCGGACGTCATGTAAGGGCAGCTAGTCTTGCCACGCCACCATGTCGCTGCCTTATCAAGAGTATAACAGTGTGACTATAAGGATAATGAGATAATTTGAATAATTCTAACGTATACATACACGCTGATTTCTTCCCTGATATAGGGTGACGTAACGCGGACGTAATGGTGACGTAACAGTGACGTAACCGTGACGTAACGGGTGTCTTAACGGGTGATGTTGCGGTGACGTAACCGTGACGTAACGGGTGATGTTGCGGTGACGTAACAGTGACGTAACGGGTGATGTTGCGGTGACGTAACAGGAGGGAGCAGTCACGTGGTGGCGCTACCGTTACGATGATGATCCGTAAACACAAACAACAACATAGCTGTGTGCGGAGTGCATACCCTCCCCCCCCATAAGCTTTATACGGGTTACGTTACTCACAATAAGATGATATTGTTTTTGCCGCGTTCTAAATTGTTCGGTTCGTTGTCCAGTCTCTATTCATTGTCTACTTTAGAGGAGATATAATATTTCGCTACCCGATCGATATATCAGAACAGTTCCTGCGAGTAAGAGCCTACGTTAGATTTGCTTTACACGTGTATTGGTTATTGTGGTAATCTAAAGGGCCTCTGATCTGCGACCGCTGTAACGCAATAAACCGCACGTAGGGGCGCTAAACGGTCGATGCTGTGCCACAAATAGCGTATTGAGTAACAGTAGACAATGTCGTCGAAAACAAAAAAAAAACAATTCATTTCGCAAAGGAACATAAAACGATGTTTCGTTTACTCTGCCATTGCAGTCTAGACGCCTTGCACAGCGTGAATACAGTGTGTTTGTCGCGGGCATCTATGCTGCGCTAGGTGTAAAGCACACGGCCCTGTGTAACCAGGCATTAGTAACGGTGAATCTATTACACGGCAGGAGACTGCCTGCATGTCTATGGTCGGCTGCAGCTATCTTACTTATCTCATATAGACGGTTCTACATTGCTAGATGTGCACGAATGCTATATTAAATACACGAATTCTATTAAACCCATATACTGCGTTTTGTTATGTGACTCTCTTTCCTCGTCCGTATTATATAGTATATATATCATGTTTCATTGATTCCTAAATTATTTGCATAAAATATCGTGGTATTATGAATATTGTTTACATATGAACGCGATAGAACTATAAATATAGTGTTGGTTTACGAGATTACCCAATTTTTAACAATTGTGATCGCGCCATACTAAAATTTACCACCCCATAGCGTTAAACTTGGTATTACACACTTTACATCATAACTATTAATACATGTGCTTCTGTCAGCTCGTGTCCCTGCGCTGTGAGGTTAGACTCCCAAACGCTCGTTGCACTGCCTTTACTTCGGTGCATTTTATCACAGATAGCCTGTAAACCATTGCGTTATGTCTATCTCTGTTGCTCTTATGTATATCCTGCCTCCTCAGTCCTACTCATCAGTAGATCTGTACTCTGTATCCGTCCTCTTGGATGTCATTCTTACTCATGTGCGAAGTTACGTCACAGACCTGTGCTGTTCTCCCTCTCAGTAATACTCGTCGGCCGCATTTACTTCATTACGCGCGTAAGACTGAATGTCAATGCCAATGCCGAAGTTCTTATTACCAGTCCGTTGTAATCGTGCGATCCGTTCTCTCCCCATCTAGTCCCACCTGCCCAATAAAAATCAGAGAGAGCTGTGAGAAAGAGAGAGAGCGAAAAGACACACACACACACCACACACACAACACACACCACACACACACACACCACACACACACACACACCACACACACACACGACAAGAGAGAGAGAGAGAGAGAGACGAGAGAACCTGATGAGGAGAAACGAGAGAGAGACGAGAAAGAGAGAAGAGAGCGCGAGAGAGGTGGGGAGAGAGAGTTAGTTGTAGTGCCTAGCAGCCAGGTTCTTCAAAACACGCTGTTTCTTTTGGCACGCAGCTGTATGCACAGTTACACGCACGCACAACACACACACACACACGCGCGCGCGCCGCGCGCGCACGCACGCCACGCACGGGTACACCACAACACACACACACACACACACACCACCACACACACACACACACAACACACACACACACATACAACACACACACACACCACACCACACACACCAAAGACTGGTTCTGACGCATCCAGTAATCCACGCCTGTCAGGGTCGGGTTCCATAGCCGACTAGCGTGCATCTCAATGATCCAAGTTGCTAAAGCTGCACCTGCTGCCGTCACACACCTGCTAATTAAAGTAATACACCGGTAATTAAAGTAATACACCTGTAACTAGACAGAGGGCACTCACGGAGGAGTGCATACCTCCGCCGAAGCAGGTAACCATGTATGTGCCGCTAGGTGGCGGCTGCTGACTGAACTCGCTGCCCTGCTGCGACCGCCGCGTCACTGGTGGCTGCTGCTGACTCGCCGCTCGCTGACTCGACGCGCTCTATCGATCGCGCGCCCGCTCGCTGACCGACGTGCATCGTATTCGCGCGCGCGACGCGGACTGGACACACACACAGACACGAACACACACACTGACGAGCGAATTGCATGACTCCGTTGGCGCGGCGACGTAATTAGTGTATACACCATGTAATTATAGTATTCCACCTGTAATTATAGCTATACACACTGTACATTTGTAATATACCTAGATACAATCTATAGTATTGCACTTGTAATTGATAGATAACACACCTGTATTATAGTAATACACCTGTAATTATAGTATTACACTTGTAATTATAGTAACACACCTGTAATTATAGTAACACGCCTGTAACTGTAGTACTACACCTGTAACTATAGAGTCAGGACATGTAATTATAAGGGCCAACACTTTTAATTTTAATGTCGGACCATGTAATTATACTGTCACACCTGTAATTGTAGTATTACACCTGTAACTATAGAGTATTATGTATGTATGTATGTATGTATGTATGTATGTATGTATGCTATGTATGTATGTATGTAGGCTGTTTGTGTGTGTGCTGTTGTGTGACTGTAGTGTGTGTGTGTGTGTGTTGCGTGCGTGCGTGCGTGCGTGCGTGCAGTGCGGCTTGCGTGCGTGCGTGCTTCTGCGTCGGTGCGTGCGTTGGTGCGTGCGTGCGTGCGTGCGATTGCGTGCGTGCTGTTGGGTGTGTGTGTGTGTGTGTGTGTGTGTGTGTGTGTGTGTGTGTGTGTGCGCGCGCGTGTGGGGGGAGTGTGTGTGCGTGCGTGGGTGTGTGTGTGTGCGTATGTTTACATGCATGCATGCATGCATGTATGCATGTATATATGTACGTACTTACGTACGTACGTATGTGTGTATGTATTATATAGTAGAGTAGAGGTGGTTACCTGACTTGTAGAAGGTGAAGGGTTGGTTGCCAGCACACACGGCGATCACTATCGGCCCGTCTCTCACGATCTGTTTCAGAGCTTCTACGTCGCACGCGTACGCGCTGCTGTCGACGATGCCATCAATGTTGTCCTCCACGTTAGTACTAGCCTTCCCACTCCTCCTACACCTCGTATCCTGCATTAGACACGTTGTTCGTTTGTTTAACTGATTGATCGATTGATTGATTGATTGAGGTGATTAATTGTTGATTTATTCGATTGATAGATTAATTAATTGAGTGAATAATTGTTTTGTTTTGTTAGCATAAAAATTATGAAATTAATATGAAATTATGGTCGGCGCTTGAGCGTGAAATACAGCGCCCTCTGTAGGAATTTAAAAATTGAAATGGGTCAAAGACGTGTAACAAACAAAAAATTAAAAGAAGCTTGTAGTATTAACAAGAAACCTGCGCTGCACAACGTGGATCAGTAAACCCGAACAACGCTAGATAATTTTCTTCTTCCGCGATGCAACCCGTTTGAGGCATATTAGTCAATACGCTTAGGTCAAGGTTACACCCTTGCTTATGGAACTAGTCGTATTATAAGCATAAACATAAAGAGAGAGAGAGGGAGAGAGAGGACAGTATCAGACGCCTTCTATAGGAGTGTTACTCACCCGTCCTGTACCACCGCTGTTGTAAGGGTAGTCGCTAGCGGAGGCGAGGTGACTATTGCGAACTATAACCTGCAGTGCCGCAGCTGCGTATCCGCCGTTACAACCGTTCCAGTTGCTGAACGTGCAGTCGACCATCTGCTGCTGACTGAGGTCTACTGTCGGGCTGTTACTGCCACAGTTACGCATCTCCAGCGAATCTACCTGTAACGTGTGATGGCGGGAGTACTTGAGGGAAGGGGGTTTAACTATAGACCATAATCATAACCATCCACCACCGCCGCCGCCAAGCAAGAAAAACAACAATAACAACAAGAACAACAACATCAACAAAAGCAAAAGCAACAACAACAACATCAACAAAAGCAAAAGCAACAACAACAGCATCATCATCATAATCATCAACAACAACAATAATAATAATAATAATAATAATAATAATAATAATAATATAACCATCTAGGCCCCCTACACGCAGACGACAACAACAAAAACAACATTATCAAATGCAGACGACAGCAGAAGTAGACGTAGTAGTAGTAGCAGCAGCAGCAGCAGCAGCAGCAGCAGCAGCAACAGTAGTAGTAGTAGTAGTAGTAGCAGCAGCAACAGCAGCAGCAGCAGCAACAGCAGCAGCAGCAGAAGCAGCAGCAGCAGCAGCAGCAGCAGCAGTGGCAGCATATAGTAATACTAAAAGGAGTAATAACAGTAACAGTAGTGTTTGCACACGTGACTTACGGCAGCGAACGCCCAGCAGCTTCCGCACCTTCCTTGGGTCCTGACTGGCGACGCACAGCTAGGATTAGCTGTCATCCAATTAAAGCCGCTCGCCGCATCATCCTGGTTGCTAGTTGGCGCCTCCGTCGTGGTGGTGGTTGTAGTAGTTGTAGTGGTGGTGGTGGTTTCGTGGTAGCGTGCGTGCAGCGACGTCAGCAACGTCTGCACGTAGCTAATCAACACACGGCAAAGCACTCGCGGTTACGTCAGACGTAGACACACGTGCCTAGCAGACAGGAACACCTCTACCTGTACACCCGTACCTCTACCTCTACTTGTACACCTTTACACCTGTAACTCTACCTCTACCTCTACCTCTACCTGTACACATGTACCTAGGAGACAGGAGCACGTACCTAGGACCTGTACACCTGTACCTCTATCTCTACCTGTACACATGTACCTAGGACCTGTACACCTGTACCTCTACCACTACCTGTACACATGTACCTAGGACCTGTACACCTGTACCTCTACCTCTACCTGTACACATGTACCTAGGAGACAGGAGCACATACTTAGGACCTGTACACATGTACCTCTACCTCTACTTGTACACCTTTACACCTGTAACTCTACCTCTACCTCTACCTCTACCTGTACACATGTACCTAGGAGACAGGAGCACCACACAGAAGCCGTACATGTTGACATCAGGCATGGAGGTAAGACAGGTGTATAATATCATATAATGCCACACGTACTCATCATTGATATCCTTGGATCGTGGTCGGCGCGTGGAGGCGCGCCTCTGTGTTCGCCGCTTGTCAAATCCCATCTTGTTCTTCCTCACTTCAGCTATGGTCTGGGCAATATATATATATATATATATATATATATTATACATTCATATGTTTTATTATTAGGAATACAACTAATTATTTAGATAATAAAGTCATTCAACATTACATTCTATGTATCTATATATCTATGTATCTTTGTAAGATATATATATATATTATATGGTTTATTAGTAGGAATACAATTAATTATTTAGATAATAAGTCAACATTTTATTCAACATGTATCTATGTCTCTATCTGTCTATGTATCTATGTATCTATATATCTATATATCTATGTATTTATGTATCTATGTATCTATGTATCTATGTATCTATGTATCTATATATCTATGTATTTATCTATTTATGTATCTATGTATCTATGTATCTATGTATCTATATATCTATGTATCTATGTATCTATGTATCTATGTATCTATGTATGTATGTATATATTTATGTATCTATGTATCTATGTATCTATGTATCTATGTATCTATGTATCTATGTATCTATGTATCTATGTATCTATTTATGTATCTATGTATCTATATATCTATGTATCTATGTATCTATGTATCTATGTATCTATGTATCTATGTATCTATCTATGTATCTATGTATCTATGTATCTATGTATTTATGTATCTATATATCTATGTATTTATGTATCTATATATCTATGTATCAATGTATCTCCGTGTATATTGATCACCTGATCAGTATCCTCCGTGATGGCTACTGTGTAGTTCAGCTCGCCAGTCACCCAGCGTCCGTATCTATGTATCTATGTATCTATGTATCTATGTATCTATA